CTTCTAGATGTGTCATTGTACTCTAGATGCTGTTTCTGAACAGTACTTCTAGATGGTGTCATTGTACTCTAGATGCTGTTTCTGAACAGTACTTCTAGATGTGTCATTGTACCAGATGCTGTTCTGAACAGTACTCTAGATGTGTCATTGTACTCTAGATGCTGTTTCTGAACAGTACTTCTAGATGTGTCATTGTACTCTAGATGCTGTTTCTGAACAGTACTTCTAGATGTGTCTTGTACTCTAGATGCCTGTTTTCTGAACAGTACTTCTAGATGTGTCATTGTACTCTAGATGCTGTTTCTGAACAGTACTTCTAGATGTGTCTTTGTACTCTAGATGCTGTTTCTGAACATACTTGTAGATGTGTCATTGTACTCTAGATGCTGTTTCTGAACAGTACTTCTAGATGTGTCATTGTACTCTAGATGCTGTTTCTGAACAGTACTTCTAGATGTGTCATTGTACTCTAGATGCTGTTTCTGAACAGTACTTCTAGATGTGTCATTGTACTCTAGATGCTGTTTCTGAACAGTACTTCTAGATGTGTCATTGTACTCTAGATGCTGTTTCTGAACAGTACTTCTAGATGTGTCATTGTACTCTAGATGCTGTTTCTGAACAGTACTTCTAGATGTGTCATTGTACTCTAGATGCTGTTTCTGAACAGTACTTCTAGATGTGTCATTGTACTCTAGATGCTGTTTCTGGACAGTACTTCTAGATGTGTCATTGTACTCTAGATGCTGTTTCTGAACAGTACTTCTAGATGTGTCATTGTACTCTAGATGCTGTTTCTGAACAGTACTTCTAGATGTGTCAATGTACTCTAGATGCTGTTTCTGAACAGTACTTCTAGATGTGTCAGTGTACTCTAGATGCTGTTTCTGAACAGTACTTCTAGATGTGTCAGTGTACTCTAGATGCTGTTTCTGAACAGTACTTCTAGATGTGTCAGTGTACTCTAGATGCTGTTTCTGAACAGTACTTCTAGATGTGTCATTGTACTCTAGATGCTGTTTCTGAACAGTACTTCTAGATGTGTCAGTGTACTCTAGATGCTGTTTCTGAACAGTACTTTTAGATGTGTCAATGTACTCTAGATGCTGTTTCTGAAGAGTACTTCTAGATGTGTCAGTGTACTCTGGATGCTGTTTCTGAACAGTACTTCTAGATGTGTCAGTGTACTCTAGATGCTGTTTCTGAACAGTACTTCTAGATGTGTCAGTGTACTCTAGATGCTGTTTCTGAACAGTACTTCTAGATGTGTCAATGTACTCTAGATGCTGTTTCTGAACAGTACTCCTAGATGTGTCAATGTACTCTAGATGCTGTTTCTGAACAGTACTTGTAGATGTGTCAATGCACTCTAGATGTAAGTTCTTGCTGACTGATGTAAGTTCTTGCTGACTGATGTAAGTTCTTGCTGACTGATGTAAGTTCTTGTTGACATCTACCAATAAACACTTGTCTAGTCAACATTGAACAATTGCTGTGACTTGTAGTCAGCCTCAGAAATATTTTCAGCAATTGGCAGGGAAATAAGTGACTACTGTGTGACCAGCTGGGCAACAGTGACTGCTGTGTGACCAGCTGGGCAACAGTGACTGCTGTATGACCAGCTGGGCAACAGTGACTGCTGTGTGATCAGCTGGGCAACAGTGACTGCTGTGTGACCAGCTGGGCAACAGTGACTGCTGTGTGACCAGCTGGGCAACAGTGACTGCTGTATGACCAGCTGGGCAACAGTGACTGCTTGTTGATCAGCTGGCAACAGTGACTGCTGTGTGATCAGCTGGGCAACAGTGACTGGTGTGTGATCAGCTGGGCAACAGTGACTGCTGTGTGATCAGCTGGCAACAGTGACTGCTGTGTGACCAGCTGGGCAACAGTGACTGCTGTGTGATCAGCTGGGCAACAGTGACTGCTGTGTGATCAGCTGGGCAACAGTGACTGCTGTGTGATCAGCTGGGCAACAGTGACTGCTGTGTGATCAGCTGGGCAACAGTGACTGCTGTGTGACCAGCTGGGCAACAGTGACTGCTGTGTGATCAGCTGGGCAACAGTGACTGCTGTGTGACCAGCTGGCAACAGTGACTGCTGTGTGATCAGCTGGCAACAGTGACTGCTGTGTGATCAGCTGGGCAACAGTGACTGCTGTGTGACCAGCTGGGCAACAGTGACTGCTGTGTGATCAGCTGGGCAACAGTGACTGCTGTGTGACCAGCTGGGCAACAGTGACTGCTGTGTGATCAGCTGGGCAACAGTGACTGCTGTGTGATCAGCTGGGCAACAGTGACTGCTGTGTGATCAGCTGGGCAACAGTGACTGCTGTGTGACCAGCTGGGCAACAGTGACTGCTGTGTGATCAGCTGGGCAACAGTGACTGCTGGTGTGATCAGCTGGGCAACAGTGACTGCTGTGTGATCAGCTGGGCAACAGTGACTGCTGTGTGATCAGCTGGGCAACAGTGACTGCTGTGTGATCAGCTGGGCAACAGTGACTGCTGTGTGATCAGCTGGGCAACAGTGACTGCTGTGTGATCAGCTGGGCAACAGTGACTGCTGTGTGACCAGCTGGGCAACAGGGGACTGCTGTGTGATCAGCTGGGCAACAGTGACTGCTGTGTGACCAGCTGGGCAACAGTGACTGCTGTGTGATCAGCTGGGCAACAGTGACTGCTGTGTGATCAGCTGGGCAACAGCACAAGTGATACTTTTTTGCATGTGAGTGGTGGCAAGTTGTTTAGTTTTCCTGTCTTTGTGGCTGGGATTTCGCATGCTAGTCTTGATGCTATAGTAGAAAAGAAGACATTAAGAGTGTTGGCAGTGTGTTGGATGTGTGGTTCAGCTGGTTTAGTTGAGTTTATATCTCTGTTGCTGGACAGTTTTCTAGAGTCCAGGATTTCAGAGAGGGTTTTACCAGGTCTGTTTCATATCCTCTTTTATTTTCTTAAGCCTGCTTGCATAATAAAGTTGCATTAAACTCAGTCTGAATCATAAGTTATTTATGCAGACATGAATTAGGTTTCACACACACAGTAACACTATGGTGGTGTCAGTCCTATGGCAAGGTGGGGTACCATTTACAGCCCTATGGTGGGTGGGGGCAGCCCTCTGGTGGGGGCAGTCCTATGGTGGGGGCAGCCCTCTGGTGGGGGCATCCCTATGGTGGGGGCATCCCTATGGTGGGGGCATCCCTATGGTGGGAGCAGCCCTACAACAAGGGCATGGCAAGTCTTCTTAAGGTCAGGTGGAGTATCATTTACAGCCCTATGGTGGGGGCAGCCCTATGGTGGGAGCAGCCCTATGGTGGGGGCATCCCTATGGTGGGGGCATCCCTATGGTGGGGGCAGCCCTACAACAAGGGCATGGCAAGTCTTCTTATGGTCAGGTGGAGTATCATTTACAGCCCTATGGTGAGGGCAGCCCTACAACAAGGGAATGGTGAGTCTTCTTAAGGTCAGGTGGAGTACCATTTACAGCCCTATGGTGGGGGCAGCCGTATGGTGGGGGCAGCCCTATGGTGGGGGCATTCCTATGGTGAGGGCAGCCCTACAACAAGGGCATGGTGATTAAGGTCAGGTGGAGTACCATTTACAGCCCTATGGTGGGGGCAGCCCTATGGTGGGGGCATTCCTATGGTGAGGGCAGCCCTACAACAAGGGCATGGGGAGTCTTCTTAAGGTCAGGTGGAGTACCATTTACAGCCCTATGGTGGAGGCAGCCCTACAACAAGGGCATGGTGAGTCTTCTTAAGGTCAGGTGGAGTACCATTTACAGTCCTATGGTGGGAGCAATCTTACAATCTTGCAACAAGGGCACAGTGAGTCTGCTTCAGCACAAGTGATGTAGCAATTAGCTATACTCATACCTGAGTTACACTATGTCATTGTTGATGACCTATACCTTGGTTACATCATGTCATCGGTCATCTCCAACAGACTCATCTACATTGCCCACTCACACAGAGCTCATAGAGAGTAGCAAAGGTGCTGGTGCAGCAGAAGTAACATGTCTGGTATATCTGGGCCAGTGTCTTGCTGATATAAGGCTCTCAACTCTCAAAAGCTCTGCTCAGTTTAAGCACCTTTGCTGCACTTCAGATTTTTCAAATGAAAGTTGCACCATCGTAGATGAATTTTACGGAGCGATGATGGGAAATATGCTTCAATTTTGCAATAGTCTTCCATCAAAAATGTCATAGAAGATTATGTGTTAATCAATGGTCTACTGTGTTATATTGTTATTATTGCTTTATTATTGTTCCTTGCTTCCTCCCTATTATCCTACCTGTCTTTCTGCCTGCCTTCCTTGCTGCCTGCCTGCCTTCCTTGCTGCCTGCCTGCCTGCCTGCCTGCCTTCCTTGCTGCCTGCCTGCCTTCCTTGCTGTCTGCCTGCCTTCCTTGCTGCCTGCCTGCCTTCCTTGCTGCCTGCCTGCCTGCCTGCCTTCCTTGCTGCCTGCCTTCCTTGCTGCCTGCCTGCCTGCCTGCCTTCCTTGCTGCCTGCCTGCCTTCCTTGCTGTCTGCCTGCCTTCCTTGCTGCCTGCCTGCCTTCCTTGCTGCCTGCCTGCCTTCCTTGCTGCCTGCCTGCCTTCCTTGCTGCCTGCCTGCCTTCCTTGCTGCCTGCCTGCCTGCCTGCCTTCCTTGCTGCCTGCCTGCCTTCCTTGCTGTCTGCCTGCCTTCCTTGCTGTCTGCCTGCCTTCCTTGCTGCCTGCCTGCCTTCCTTGCTGCCTGCCTGCCTTCCTTGCTGCCTGCCTGCCTGCCTTCCTTGCTGCCTGCCTGCCTGCCTTCCTTGCTGCCTGCCTGCCTGCCTTCCTTGCTGCCTGCCTGCCTGCCTTCCTTGCTGCCTGCCTGCCTTCCTTGCTGCCTGCCTGCCTTCCTTTCTCCCTGCCTGCCTGCCTTCCTTTCTCCCTGCCTGCTTGCTTGCCTGTCTGACTGCTTGTCTGCCTGCCTGTTATCCACTACAGCACTTCACTAACACTGCCACTACATTCCACAGTGGAACCACTGACAGTGGAACTGTTGGGTCCTGATGAAGCTCTGACCTCCGGTGTAGAGTACAAGGTGACCTGCCAGAGTACAGGAGCTCGTCCTACAGCAGTACTAACCTGGTGGTTGGATGGTCAACAACTCTTCAACCATACCTCTCATGTGAGTACATGGATAACCTCTCATGTGAGTACATGGATAACCTCTCATGTGAGTACATCGATAACCTCTCATGTGAGCACTACATCAATAACCTCTCATGAGAGTACATCGATAACCTCTCATGTGAGTACATCGATAACCTCTCATGTGAGTACATCGATAACCTCTCATGTGAGTACATCGATAACCTCTCATGTGAGTACATCGATAACCTCTCATGAGAGTACATCGATAACCTCTCATGTGAGTACATCAATAACCTCTCATGTGAGTACATCAATAACCTCTCATGTGAGTACATCAATAACCTCTCATGTGAGTACATCAATAACCTCTCATGTGAGTACATCAATAACCTCTCATGAGAGTACATCAATAACCTCTCATGAGAGTACATCGATAACCTCTCATGAGAGTACATCGATAACCTCTCATGAGAGTACATCGATAACCTCTCATGTGAGTACATCAATAACCTCTCATGTGAGTACATCAATAACCTCTCATGTGAGTACATCAATAACCTCTCATGTGAGTACATCAATAACCTCTCATGAGAGTACATCAATAACCTCTCATGAGAGTACATCGATAACCTCTCATGAGAGTACATCGATAACCTCTCATGAGAGTACATCGATAACCTCTCATGTGAGTACATCAATAACCTCTCATGTGAGTACATCAATAACCTCTCATGTGAGTACATCAATAACCTCTCATGTGAGTACATCAATAACCTCTCATGAGAGTACATCAATAACCTCTCATGAAGTACATCGATAACCTCTCATGAGAGTACATCGATAACCTCTCATGAGAGTACATCGATAACCTCTCATGTGAGTACATCAATAACCTCTCATGTGAGCACTACATCAACTCATGTGAGCACTACATCAACTCATGTGAGCACTACATCAACTCATGTGAGCACTACATCAACTCATGTGAGCACTACATCAACTCATGTGAGCACTACATCAACTCATGTGAGCACTACATCAACTCATGTGAGCACTACATCAACTCATGTGAGCACTACATCAACTCATGTGAGTACAACACTGGTTGACAGGGGGACCTCTGAAATCTTCAGACAGATAGATCTGGATTTTAGGCTATTTTATGCACATTCATGATTTTACAAAAGTTGAGTTTGACACAGAAAACTTCATAGAGACGTTTGTGTCTAGTTTTAGGCCTAGGGTTCTATTGCAATGATCTAGTTTTAGGCCTAGGGTTCTATTGCGATGATCTAGTTTTAGGCCTAGGTTCTATTGCGATGATCTAATTTTAGGCCTAGGGTTCTATTGCAATGATCTAGTTTTAGGCCTAGGGTTCTATTGCGATGATCTAGTTTTAGGCCTAGGGTTCTATTGCGATGATCTAGTTTTAGGCCTAGGGTTCTATTGCAATGATCTAGTTTTAGGCCTAGGGTTCTATTGCGATGATCTAGTTTTAGGCCTAGGGTTCTATTGCGATGATCTAGTTTTAGGCCTAGGGTTCTATTGCGATGATCTAGTTTTAGGCCTAGGGTTCTATTGCGATGATCTAGTTTTAGGCCTAGGGTTCTATTGCAATGATCTAGTTTTAGGCCTAGGGTTCTATTGCGATGATCTAGTTTTAGGTCTAGGGTTCTATTGCGATGATCTAGTTTTAGGCCTAGGGTTCTATTGCGATGATCTAGTTTTAGGTCTAGGGTTCTATTGCAATGATCTAGTTTTAGGCCTAGGGTTCTATTGCGATGATCTAGTTTTAGGTCTAGGGTTCTATTGCAATGATCTAGTTTAATGGCAGGATTCATATTAGACTTTATTGTTATTTATATGCAGTATGTACAATTGTATGAGTGTATATTGTGTCTATCGTGTATTTTGTGTGATGGTTCATACAGCAGCTTTATGTTGGGTTATTAACAATGTTGACATTACAGGGGATCCTCGACTTGCTATGGGGTCACATTCCCATGAACCCATTGTAAGTTCCACATACCCTAAGCTGAAAATATCGTAAGTCAAAAATAAATATGCTCTGCTAAATAAACAAGCCAATAAATAACTAGTGTCAGTGAATAAGACAATAAACAAATAATTATTGTAACTAAATACTGGTATTGAAAAGTTAATAAATGAATACAAGTTAGGGACTTGTTGCCTTCATGCTGGATAATTATCTTATGTTTCCTCTCTAAAGTTTTTGTTGCAGCATCATTGTAAAGTTGAAATATTGTAAGTTGAACCATCATAAAGTTGAAATATTGTAAGTTGAACCAATGTAAAGTTGAAATATTGTAAGTTGAACCATCGTAAAGTTGAAATATTGTAAGTTGAACCATTGTAAAGTTGAAATATTGTAAGTTGAACCATTGTAAAGTTGAAATATTGTAAGTTGAACCATCGTAAAGTTGAAATATTGTAAGTTGAATAATTGTAAAGTTGAAATATTGTAAGTTGAACCATTGTAAAGTTGAAATATTGTAAGTTGAACCATCGTAAAGTTGAAATATTGTAAGTTGAACCATTGTAAAGTTGAAATATTATGTAAGTTGAACCATTGTAAAGTTGAAATATTGTAAGTTGAACCATCGTAAAGTTGAAATATTGTAAGTTGAACCATTGTAAAGTTGAAATATTGTAAGTTGAACCATTGTAAAGTTGAAATATTGTAAGTTGAACCATCGTAAAGTTGAAATATTGTAAGTTGAATAATTGTAAAGTTGAAATATTGTAAGTTGAACCATTGTAAAGTTGAAATATTGTAAGTTGAACCATCATAAAGTTGAAATATTGTAAGTTGAACCATTGTAAAGTTGAAATATTGTAAGTTGAACCATTGTAAAGTTGAAATATTGTAAGTTGAACCATCGTAAAGTTGAAATATTGTAAGTTGAACCATTGTAAAGTTGAAATATTGTAAGTTGAACCATTGTAAAGTTGAAATATTGTAAGTTGAACCATTGTAAAGTTGAAATATTGTAAGTTGAACCATTGTAAAGTTGAAATATTGTAAGTTGAACCATTGTAAAGTTGAAATATTGTAAGTTGAACCATTGTAAAGTTGAAATATTGTAAGTTGAACCATTGTAAAGTTGAAATATTGTAAGTTGAACCATTGTAAAGTTGAAATATTGTAAGTTGAACCATTGTAAAGTTGAAATATTGTAAGTTGAACCATCGTTAAGTTGAAATATTGTAAGTTGAACCATCGTTAAGTTGAAATATTGTAAGATGAACCATTGTAAAGTTGAAATATTGTAAGTTGAACCATTGTAAAGTTGAAATATTGTAAGTTGAACCATTGTAAAGTTGAAATATTGTAAGTTGAACCATCGTAAAGTTGAAATATTGTAAGTTGAACCATTGTAAAGTTGAAATATTGTAAGTTGAACCATTGTAAAGTTGAAATATTGTAAGTTGAACCATTGTAAAGTTGAAATATCCTAAGTTAAACCATCGTAAAGTTGAAATATTGTAAGTTGAACCATTGTAAAGTTGAAATATTGTAAGTTGAACCATTGTAAAGTTGAAATATTGTAAGTTGAACCATCGTAAAGTTGAAATATCCTAAGTTAAACCATCGTAAAGTTGAAATATTGTAAGTTGAACCATTGTAAAGTTGAAATATTGTAAGTTGAACCATTGTAAAGTTGAAATATTGTAAGTTGAACCATCGTAAAGTTGAAATATCCTAAGTTAAACCATCGTAAATTTGAAATATTGTAAGTTGAACCATTGTAAAGTTGAAATATTGTAAGTTGATCCATCGTAAAGTTGAAATATTGTAAGTTGAACCATTGTAAAGTTGAAATATTGTAAGTTGAACCATCGTAAAGTTGAAATATTGTAAGTTGAACCATTGTAAAGTTGAATTATTGTAAGTTGAACCATTGTAAAGTTGAAATATTGTAAGTTGAACCATCGTAAAGTTGAAATATCCTAAGTTAAACCATCGTAAAGTTGAAATATTGTAAGTTGAACCATTGTAAAGTTGAAATATTGTAAGTTGAACCATCGTAAAGTTGAAATATTGTAAGTTGAACCATCGTAAAGTTGAAATATTGTAAGTTGAACCATCGTAAAGTTGAAATATTGTAAGTTGAATCATCGTAAAGTTGAAATATCCTAAGTTAAACCATCGTAAAGTTGAAATATTGTAAGTTGAACCATCGTAAAGTTGAAATATCCTAAGTTAAACCATCGTAAAGCTGAAATATTGTAAGTTGAACCATTGTAAAGTTGAAATATTGTAAGTTGAACCATCGTAAAGTTGAAATATTGTAAGTTGAACCATCGTAAAGTTGAAATATTGTAAGTTGAACCATCGTAAAGTTGAAATATTGTAAGTTGAATCATCGTAAAGTTGAAATATCCTAAGTTAAACCATCGTAAAGTTGAAATATTGTAAGTTGAACCATCGTAAAGTTGAAATATCTTACGTTGAAACAGTGTACGGTTTAAATATCTTAAGTTGAACCATTGTAAAACTGAAATATAAGTAAACCGCTTCCATTTTTGCACACCATGAGTGCAGAATACAAAAATTGATAACTCTGATTTTTCTGAGGACTACACAAAACTTATGTAAGTTTAGATCATCAAAAAGTCCACTTGCTAATATCCAAAATGACTTAGACATTTGACAAAATTTTGATTTGGCAACAGATTTGTTGCAGTGTAAAAAATGAGAACTTTTATTTTTTATTTATTTATTGCACGATATTCATGAAATTGTCCTTATACACTCCGAGTCTATAATAAAAATTTGGATAAAATCATACAATGGATGAAGGAAAAAATCTATGGCAACTCCCCCTTAACCCTTTAACTGTTGGTGCCGTAGTACTGCGGCTTATGAGCCAGTGTTGATGCTGTAGTACTACTCCAAAATTCTAGCAGCTTTAAATCTAGTGGGAGAAAGCTGGTAGGCCTACATGTGAGAGAATGGGTCTGCCTGGTTAGTGTACACTGCATAAAAAAAATTGGGGAACTAGTGGTGCA